CGGTGTGACGGGCCAACGCTTTAACCACTAGACTAACCCCACCGCACCAGCATTCATCACTTGTACGAAATTATCTGAAAATAATAAGTAGAATTCGTCAGGCATCCAGGTCATTTGCCTTAACAGCTGAACAGGTTTGAGAGGAAATTGTTCGTACGTAGAACTCGCAACCAACCGTTTGCTTTGACTCCCTTTCCTTCAGTTGTTTATCGTGATTACATTGATATTGATATGTATACTGCAATCGGCATACATGTATATAAAGGAGCTGACCGAGTCCCTGCACAGTAAATTGTAACACTATCAACATGGCGAGTCGACCTGCCAATCAGCAACACATGCGTTGGTCGGACAATATACTGAAAACAAAATATAACGCATAATGTACTAGAGGTTCATGTCGGGGTTGAATTTTGTGTAAGGTAACTTAATTATCAAAGGATTAAGATGTTCTTTAACACGTTTCGCTCGATTCTTGAACCTCCACTATTCGAATAACGAAAGTGTTCAAATAAACAAAGACCCTTTATTCAAAGAGAAGCTACTCTAAACCTAGTCTGTCTAAACATGACGACTATCTGGAATCTAGATTAACAACTAGTCTCTGAAATGAACATATTTCTACAGAAAAAAGCCTCATAGTGAAAAAAAACCCAAAATATAATAAAAAGGAACCCTGAGATTTTGGAAATCTAGACTTACCACATTTTCTAGTCTTGCGTGGGATTTCTTTGATATATTTGCTTTGACAGACTAACTGGAATCATAATGTTACGCTAATGTTACAATGACACAATTTGTACATATCGGCCAATTCCAACTTTTTAATATGTGCAAAACAAGACAAAGCAAAGAGCCACAGGCAGAAATATGGTGCTGGTGTTGATTTGTTTCGCCATTAAAATATCCATACTTGAATATGTCTCCATCCCAGTTAGACACTAATGTTGTTTTCATAATGATCTGGGACGGTGTGGTAGCCTAATGGTTTAAGCGTTCGCTTATCACGCCGAAGACCAAGGTTAGATTCCCCATGGGTGTAATATTAGAAGCCAATTCCTCGTGTCCCCCGCCGTGATATTGCTGGAATATTGCAAAAAGTGACGTAAAACCATACTCACTCACTCATAATGACAGCATCCCATTAGTTTATCCAGTTGCACGATGGATCTTTTTGACACGATCGCCGATTAAAAAAGCCATATATGTTTGTTTATAACACTGAAAGTTTTACCATCTTCATCTTTCATGTTTCACCAACATTATTTTGCTTTGTTAATTAAGATGTACATATATATGACAATGAGCTTAATGAATATGTATAGGTCTGGACTGTGACCATTTAAACCCTGAAAGTAACATCAAAGATAAAATTCATAGCAACATTACAGTGTGTACCAAAAAAATGATGACTAATTTATTGTACCTATGAATCACTTTATTGAACGTGTGTAATCTTTCATTCTATGGTTTACACAAGTCATGAATTCGGGGAAAGACTTCTTATCTAACAACCTATTTTTAACGATGGCTGTTTATGGCATCTTGGTAACGTCTATTGTTGAGGTGTTGGGAGGGGATTCGGTGCATTATGTCGTGGTTCTCGCCATAGGAATTTGAAAATTAATATATACAGGAGAATACTTGACGGTTATTTATTTAGTCGACTTTTCTAAAGGGGTTTCCCCCACTGTACTCAAGAAAATCGAACTTGAACCTTGGTCTTCGAAGTGCGAAAGCTTTAATCACTAGTGAACCATTCCGACCCCATATAATAAAATACTGTATGCATACAATGCTGATACCGTTCTCATAATGTTACACATGGAGACTGTCTACTTACTGAAAAATACGTGAACAAAAAAGAGCAAATTCTAAATTAAATTAAATTAATTTTAATAATTGTATGTACGTACAGTCCAGTCAGAGGATCTGTAATATACTCTCCCAAAAAAGAAACGCATATAGGAATTTCAACTGTATTTTTATGTTTATTTTGAAACATCTTGTAGGCTTTATGAGTCAATGAAATATAGCGAAATTGCACACTGGAATGCAGACTTATCCGTCTTTGGCACCAACTCGAGGAAAGTCAGTTTGAGTGTCACATGGAGACGTGTGGTGGCGCTGAAGTCAATACCTCGTGTGACCACAGTGGGCATCCAGAACTGCACGGCATCGCCTCGGCATCGAACGAATAAGTCTCAGGATCTCGAGTTGCCCAATCGCAGCCCACTCTGCCTGTAGTGCCTGTGCGAGTTGCTGAAGTGTCTGGGGCTGAGGGTTACGGCGTCGCACCCGTCTGTCCAGGGCATCCCACAGATGTTCGATCGGGTTTAAGTCCGGTGATCTTGAGGGCCAGGGGAGCACATTGATGTTGTGGTTCTGGAGGAAGTCTCTAGCGTGACGTGCTGTGTGGGGCCTGGCATTGTCCTGTTGAAACAACTCCCTCTGGCGATCAATGATTGGAAGGAAGTGTGGGCGTAGGATTTCGTCACAGTACCGTTGAGCTGTCAGGTTGCCCTGGATCATCACCAAATCACTTCTCCTACGGCAGGTGATCGCTCCCAACATCATAACATTGCCCCGGCCGAATCTGTCCACCTGGGGAACGCAAGCGTCGGCGAAACGTTCACGTCGACGTCTGTACACCCGCATTCTTCCATCGCGTCCTTCCAATAGAAATCGTTATTCATCACTGAACCAGATTCTACGCCAATTTGGTAGGTTCCAGGCCTGAACGTTGGTGCACCATTGAACTCGATGTCGACGATGTTGTTGTCGAAGCACAGGGCCAAAATAAGCCTCTCTCAACCTGTTCCTGGCGGTCTGTGCAGAAAGCCTCCTCAAACCGGGTATTTGTCGAGCGGTACTGGTCGCCGTAGCTGTTCGATGACGCAGGTGATGTACCCGGATGTAGCGCTCCTGCGCCGCAGTGGTCGCTCGAGGTCGCTCACTATGAGGGGCATCTGCTACCGAATTCTGCCGGCGATATGTCTCCCGGAGCTGTGAAATGGAACTTTGGTGAACATTCATGCGTCCGGCAACTGCACGTTGAGACTGGCCAGCTTCAATGGCGATATGACGGTTGGCTTCACTTAGACGTGGCATTTTGCGTTCGTCAACAATATTCCAAATACAGTGAATAATCGACAGACAGCGATCAACCCTTTATAACCCATCATTGAGACTATCTGATCCCCAACTTCCACGTCCATTGCATGTGAATTAAGTATTTTGTGACACTATACGCCGAAATTGAAAATCATGCTGTTAAATACGGGTAGTTTACGGATGGTGCGTTTTTGTGATGTTTCAAAACATAAACACCATAGGACTCATAAACAGAGCAAAACCTTTTGTAAAATGAATCACGTTTTAATTCATTGCTACATGAAATTGCTATTTTCATGATGAGTATATTATTCTGAAAAATACAATTTTTATAACAATATACGAAAATATTCATTGAAAATAATATTCAGATAACAATGAAAACAGCCTGGTACCTTGTCGCATCACAACAATGGCTGCCAAATAGAATGTCTTTGTATCTGCAGTTTTGTCTCATTGAGGACTAGTATGCTTTGGCCAACTTTACCTGAGAAAACTAGCTGTTTATCGATGAATATATGAGACGCATACACATATTTCAGGTACATCTGCCAGTTTCACCTAGGAAACGGGAATCCTTTGATTAGTGCGACAGATGTGAGAATAAGCCATGCCCAAGAAGAGAGCCTTAGCGAACACCAATTATATAGGTTACATTAGTTAGGTTATAATTCTTTTGCTGTTGGAAGATCGATGCGCATTCTTCTATTGAGTGGCCATATATATCGGACTCCTAATATACCTGGACTCTTAATATACCTGGACTCTTAATATACCTGGACTCTTAACATACCTGGACTCTTAATATACCTGGACTCTTAATACACCCCTTGGGACTCCTAATATACCTGGACTCTTAATACACCCCTTGGGACTCCTAATATACCTGGACTCTTAATATACCTGGACTCTTAATACACCCCTTGGGACTCCTAATATACCTGGACTCTTAATACACCCCTTGGGACTCCTAATATACCTGGACTCTTAATATACCCCTGGGGACTCCTAATATACCTGGACTCTTAATACACCCCTTGGAGCTCCTAATATACCTGGACTCTTAATATACCTGGACTCTTAATACATCCCTGGGGACTCCTAATATACCTGGACTCTTAATATACCTGGACTCTTAATATACCTTGACTCATAATACACCCCTGGGGACTCCTAATATACCTGGACGCTTAATATTCCCTTAACAATTTTTCTTGACTTGTATCCAACCTGAAACTTAATCACCGACGTGTATCCATGTCTTTAACCTTTTAATTTTATTTCATAAGATGCAAGGCAAATCAGGGACTGTGTCTCGTCCTGGAATTCTAAAATCTCTGATTCCCTCTGATTAGGTTCTTTCTTCTGTAACCACGCACGCATTTGAATAGTGGATTCCAAGTCCAATGACATTCAACATTGAGTGAATGGGTTTAGTTTTACGCCGATTTTAGCAATATTCCAGCTATATCACAGCAGGGGACAATGGGCTTCACACGTACCCATGTGGGGAATCGAACCCGGGTCTTTGGCATGACAAGCGAACGCTTAACCACCAGGCTATCCCACCGCTCCTGGATTTCTTCCAGCATGAGAGTGACACACCTGTTTATACCCCAAAGAGTTTACTAAGTGTCGTTATTTGCTGACTCACACTCAAATAATGTCATACAACTAATTGCTTTGGTTGGTATGCTTTGTGTATCTTTGTATATACATGTATATCTTTAACTGATCGCACGAGTGATCCGTTATGAGAAACACCCAGTGGGATTGGACTGTAGAAACGTTATCTGTCCAATCGGAGTTGAACGTAAGTGTTCCTCATTGCTGCAACATGTGACAACAAATCGCATTTTATCTTAACCGAGTTCGTATAAATGGTAAGCGTTGTAATACCTGCACTATCGCTCCCCCAGCTGAAATTCATTGGGCCAGCCTTGATCGAATTGAATCACCACAGGCTGCTTTTTGTTCTTTATCAGCACGGGTATGTGAATATTTTCCTTTGTTGTTATTCTGATTAACTTTGAGTAAATATATGATAATTGTTAAATGTATATGTCAAGGAATTTTGTTGTCACATGATTTATCACTGGTATATTATGGCAAAGCTGGATGCGCTTTCGTGATTTTGACTTTAATAAATTTCATAACACTATTATTTTCCTATCACTTTCGATAAAGGACGTTCAAAAGATTCAAAACCAGATTGAAATACTGAACTCGTTTATTCCATCTATTACGCATAAAATCATTAGTTGTAGAAACCATAAATCAACACTCATGTTATTTAATGTGCCATTTAAAAATTCAGTGATTCCTTTTGGAACCGTATATGATACATGCGACTTAAGAATAATCTATGTATTAAATAATCTATCCATATTTGGCTCGATTATCTTATTTTAGTCATCTTCACACAAAGCATATCATAACTTAATATGCTAACTGTCCAAGACTCTTTTCGAATTCATCAGCTGTTACGACTATGTGAACATACACAGTTTAGAAGCAAAAGGATAGTAATAATATCACACAGCCATATGATCATAGCCGAAACATTAATTAGTTCCTGTTGTAATGTTGGCATTGACAACATTGACAACTTTGATAAGAAGTATTACTGCACAGGACGTCAGCTCTCATTATTAGGGAGTTCATATCTTGCGACACATTATCCTGATGAGGCCGAATACGTAGAAAAGAGAGAAAATGATGCAAACATAATACTTTCAAACAGCCAAAAGCACAGTACGTATAACAAAGGGGACTATAGGGAATATACATATGCCAGTATGATGGCGACAGTCTAGTTCTAAACGGGATTGTAAGACCTTTAAATATGAGATGGTAAGTGTGTACTTTTATATCTAATGGTCAATCAGCTTCTAGATCTGATGATCAAAGTCTACTTCTATAGCAAATGGTCACAGTCTACTTCTATATATGGCATTATCGCGAATTACACATATTTTCGGCTATACGCAACAGACCCATGGAAATGTATTATCAACGATTTTCAGCGGTACATGCATTAAGACCCTGCTCTTTAGATATGCTATCCAAATCCTATTTGTATACTAAAGATGTATCGGTGTAATATGTCTACCAAGTTTTGGATTCGCGCTAACCAAGCTAAGATAAGACAGTGGAAACGGTGTAAAAACCAACTCAAAATGTAACTTACGTGAAAAATTTGCATAATATGTACCTTCAAAATATTTCCACGGATATAAACTGACGTACAAAACAAAGTACACACCTAGTGTTTGGGGATATTTGAAAAATTTGTGGTGGTTTGGCAACATATTAGGAAAGTCTGTGACTTATATATCACTGTAAAAACTCTTTTCAAAACATTTACGTCGCTTTTTACGTCAGTTTACGTCATTTAATGTTAGTATCAACTGTGCGGTATCTCGAAATTTCAGTGTTTGTCCTCATACCGTATCAATTCGTCTAGCTAATGACAGTGTGTGGTACGTGCTGTATCTTGCGGACGGGTCTATCTTTTTCTGTATATGGTGACCGTCATCTTTTGTGAACAACAGGAAGGTACTATTGGAGTGCCCCCCTGCTTGTTGTTTAACGCCACACTAGCAATATTCAGATAAGATTCTATTGTTATAGCTAGCCACATGGACCAGACATTCCAGTGATCAACAGCATGAGCATTGATCTATACTATCGGGATACAATGACATGAGTCAACTATGTCAGTGAGATTGACCACTCTTTTTATTATTATTCATCTTTGTTAGGTACAAAATCATGACATCAAATCACAACCAAATATAAACCATGCGTTTGTATACAAACATTGGCGGTATGTCACAATGACAAGCATAGCAAATGACATTGTAGGAAAAAGGGTCGGTTGTACGTTAATATCAATCAAACAAGTGATGGCAATCAGACCAGAATCCAAAAAAATTGGTAAAATTACAAGAAGAGGTGGCAGTTGTTCTCTCGATATTGTAAATTTTACTTATTTCCTTTCTGATTTTATCGACCACTCGATCCAGTTAGATTAGAAAGAGAGTCACAATAGAGATTAAACTTAGTCCTTCTCTCGTGTACCTCTCGAGTATTATTCTATTCTTTAACGCCATGTTTTTGCGCCAATATTTCAGCGATATCAGAGATAATGGCTTCAGAAGGTGTAACCTTAACCGGAATCATATTGATAGTCGTGTCAACCACAAGACTTGCGTATACCCAACCAACCCCTCCAACTCAGGCACCCGCGAAGATCCGGGTTAGAATTGGTCTTCAGTAACCCATGTTTGTCGTAAGAGGCGACTAACGGGATCGGGTGGTCAGGCTCGCTGACTTGGTTGACACATGTCATCGTATCCAAATTACTTAGATCAATGCTAATGCTGTTGATCACTGGAATGTCTGGTCTGGACTCGATTATTTACAGACCACCGCCATATAGCTGGAATATTGCTGAGCGCGGCGTTAAACAACAACCAACCAACCCAGGCTATGACTCGAAAATAAGTGAAACATTGTCTTGTACAACGAAATATGGAAGAGCAGCCCGAAGCAATCCAGACTTAGGTATTTACCACTTTGTTACACCCCCGATCACTCGTAATCATGGGGGCGGTGGGGTAGCCTGATGGTTAAAGCGTTCGCTCGTCACGCCGAAGACCCGGGTTCGATTCCCCACATGGGTACAAAATGTGAAGCTCATTTCTGGTGTCCCCCGCCGTGATATTGCTGGAATATTGCTAAAAGCGGCGTAAAACCAAACTCACTCACTCACTCACTCGTAATCATGCCGACAGTCCTAAGAGCAATTCGAACCAGTAAGCATTGTTTTTCAAAGAACCATTTCTCTAAGGAACGAAACTTTCTTCACCATCAATGCCTATCTTCATTTGAAACTCCACTGATGGATTCATTATAAACTTGATGACTACAACTGGGGCACATATTTAGAACAGATATTCATGGTCACCATGGCTACTCTGTTCTTGTTATATCATTAAAAACAACATCTGTACTAAAGCATTCATCAATATTTGAAATGAGTTGAGTTGAGTTTTACGTCACATCGGACATTATTCCAGCCATACAGTGTCGAGACCATGTCTGCATTTATACACATTTTAAGTACAAAGTCCAAATGAGTTTCTTAAAAATATATATTCATATATCATTTACAGAATATGTCACAGCACTAAATTCAAAAACAAGCAATCCGTCATTCACATTACATAGTTACAACTTATGATACAGATCAATTTCCAATAACTAGTTAAATATATAAAGACAATATATGGATTTACCGAAATGTCATCATCATCATCATCATCATCATCATCATCATCGTCAATCCTTCAGGGTTACCAGTCGAGACAAACTCTCCACGTTATGTCTGGCACGGACTATGGGGGCGATGGCCCCTCCTCCTCTGTGTTTTGCTGCTTGAAGAGGAAGCCACGAAGCCTCTCGCCAGGAACAGAGCATGTGGTTATCTCCCGAAACCGTGTGGCGCCACTCAATGCAGCGTCCAAAAAGTGCCCAGTGAGCGGGTCAAAAGTTAGCTCCTTGAAGAACCACCTGGGAGGAACAGTTGCCATAGACACGCTGCATCAGAAACAGCGTCAGGTGTGATACTATTGTCCGTTTGCTGCAAAATCATGATCGTTTCTTAAACAACTTTTCCCTTCTTCATGCCAGCGTCTGAAATTATTGTGACGATTTGGTATGGACGAATGATAACTTTCATATTATATTTATATGCCATTTCATCGGTTCGATTTTGCAGCAAACGGACTATAAGTGTATAATTCTAACTTCTGCTAAAGTTGTTTTCACAACTAGTTGCACTCCTGTCATTATCGTACAACTGATTGGCTCCCATAGAATCATATGTAGGTATTATGATTTCCTTATGAGTAATAAGTGATGACCCCGCCTTGCTTCCTCATATTAACATAACACATCAGGGTTGGTGTTTCACGACTGGCGAGGCTGAAACATTCAATTAGGAGATAAACATCATGTGTTGGCGAATTTCCGGGTGTTATTGAGTTTTTGAAGCACGGGAATTCATTTGGAACCGACGGCGTCAGCCGGAGGTTTCAAATGAAATATTCCCGTGCTTCAAATACTCAATAACACCCGGAAATTCGCCAATACATGATGTTTATCGACATTGTAAACACAAAAGTAAACCAAAAGGTCCACACACGTTTTTGTGTCTGCACTCATTGACATCGAGTACGGGTACAGCAGTGAAATGTCATCAGCCGGACGTTTCGGCTGTCTCCCATGGTAGCATCTGGAACTACTCATTTGTGACGTCATTCAGACTTTACGTCACAATATGATTTTAATGACGTCATCACAGCTGACGACGTAACAATACAATGGTGTGAGCAATGTTTGTATGTATAAATACGCAGAGAATTTCCGGGAATCAAATACCATTTGATCACGTTTTTCAACCAATCAGATTAAAGAACACAGTGACTTTCGGTTTACAATTATTATTACTCTTGAAGTTTCAGGAATTGTAAAATTTGGCACACATAAATGCATGGGTATTTAAAGCATCTGAAACAAGCTCGTTGGTTTCGACAAACTGGTAAATGTCAAAACCAAACTGTTTCAATGACACGTTAAATGTCCACAGATCGAAAGAAAGTACGTTGTCATGGAATTCTCTTCCTGCAATGGACACTAGTGTCATGACGTCATGATGGGTCTAACGTAAAAAAATCGCGTTCTTATTTCAAAGTCACAGTAAATTTACTTATTTATTTCGTTTTACCCTCAGTCCGGGATCTGTACAAACAACGTGTGCATGGGTTCCACCATGCTGAACGACGCTATGAAACACCCTCAGGCGCACAGGCCCAAGGGAGATGTACTGGCAGGTGCCAAAGACTTCTTTGACCAGTACTATGCTTCATTAAAAAGGTATTGTAGTAGATATTTCTATAGCAGACGTAGTGATAACATCCATTAACACAAAACATCTCTTTCGTGAATCATGGAATAATTGTATAAAAAAATGTCCGTCTTTCAGCCATTACGAAAGATCAAACTATCTGTTTCTTTAAAACAATATTATCAATATGATCGTCATCTTAAGAAACATTTCCAAATTGAATCATGATCACTTGTCCCAGAGAAAGCGTTTGCCTCAGATCCTATTGAAACAGAATTGTATGAAAGAAATGTTGGAGGTTCTGAAACAAATAGTCTTCCTTTCAAAGACTGATAACATGCGTCTTCAGAACATGACCAAAAACGTATCCTGTCTCAAAGAAAACAACATCAAAACCTTCCACCAATATCAATCGCAAGCCCCCAAAACTGTTGATCGGAACCATCGATTTCAACACGAGCAACATTTAATTTCTGCTTTCCCTTTTACCAGCTTAAACTCTGAGCGCCATAAGAAGAGATGGGCAGAAGTTAAAGAAGACATTACGAAAACCGGGACCTATGACCTAGCCTTGGAAGAGCTGACCTTCGGCGTGAAGACAGCGTGGAGGAACGCGCCTCGGTGTATTGGAAGAATCCAGTGGTCAAAACTCAAGGTAAGATAGCTGCCCGAAGCAGACATAATGTTGCAGAACAATCGTGCATGTCTGTAGGAGGATTTGGAAGCAAAATAACTGACAAAACTAGAATGTGTGTCTGTCATTTTTGCAATACCATGTACTGCCACCGTGATATAAAGTGTGCATGTCTGCAAAAGGATTTGAAAGCCAAAGAAGTGACAAGACTAGAATGTGTCCAAATACTAGTGAGTGAGTGAGTGAGTATGGTTTTACGCCACCTTTAGCAATATTCCAGCTATATCATGGCGGGGGGCACCATAAAAGGTGCCTTCACACATTACACCCTTGTGGGGAATCGAACCCGGGTCTTCGGCGTGACGAGCGAACGCCTTAACCACTAGGCTACCCAACCGCCCCTTAGGTGTACCAAAAGGGTATGGACATCAGGACAGAGACTCCCAACAGCAGGTATTTAGAGTGGAGGCAGTTGACTCCATTGCAAGGATGTGTCTGTGTTGAAACAAATGGAAATACAAATATTGCTGGATTTTTCCTTTCAGTCGACAGTTTTCGAAGGGTTTGGGTCACTCTAATCTCATACTTTTTACATGATAATTTTTAACTGAGTGGAATAGTAAATATTAATTGGCATCACTGCAATATAGTTTCTATCAAGGTTTACATCAGTAGATGTGCACGTCATTGCTTGTAGGTGATGGATGCTCGCCACGTGTCAACGCCTCGAGGGATGTTTGAAGCGATTTGCGCCCATCTTGAATATGGCACCAACAATGGTAACATAAGGTAAAGCTATTCCCAGTATGATATTCTGATAATGAAAATTCAAGACCTCAGTGAATCTTTTGTGGCAGACATGTGAAGGACGTATCCTTCAGTGACAATAGTGATAACCGATCCAATAACCTGTTTTTACTTGTAGCACCATATATTCCCGTCTTCTGTACCACTTAGCGCTAAGACTGTCGTACGTCTACGTTAAAGTATGGGACTTACGGTCACCTGAGTTCTAAGATAGCTCTGGACAACGGATCACAGGTCCACTACAACAACTACTAAATCTACTCAAACTTGTTACAGGTCTACGATCACTGTGTTTCCACAGCGCAGAGCCAGAAGAGAGGACTTCCGGGTATGGAACAATCAGCTGATCTTATACGCCGGCTACCGTCAACCAGACGGTAGCGTCATCGGCGACCCCGCCAACGTCGAGTTCACAGAGGTTGGTTTACATTCAAGCTGCACAATATGTATATATTTTATTCTCGAGTATTTTAAAACAAATCCAAGGCCCCGCATGGCCAACCCCTTACAACGTCCCCTCTGTCTTCCCCGGGAGGTGGCGTGGCCCTGTGGTTTAAAGCGTTAGCGTGTCAAGCCGTAGATCCGGGTTCGATTCCCCACATGGGTACAATTTGTGGAGCCTATTTCTGGTGTCCCCCGCCGTGATATTGCAGGAATATTGCTAAAGGCAGCGTACAACCATATTCACTCACTCACTCACTTACTCATAATGATAGCATCCCGTTAGGTCCTCTAGTTGCACGATGGATCTTTTTGACTCGATCGCTGATTAAAATGGGCGACGCCATGTTTGTTTTCAAAACTGAAAGTTTAACTATCCTCCCCTTTCATATTCGCATTTTCATAGGTATGACCCCGACTAAACTATGTATTATTTTGCGTTGTAAAAGCGGCGTAAAACTAAACTCACTCACTATGTGTTACCCTTCACTAGATATGTGAGACGCTAGGATGGCATGGAAAGGGCGGGAAGTTTGATGTTTTACCACTTGTCCTGTCTGCCGCCGGCAACGACCCAGAGGTGTTTGACATCCCCGAGAAGATAGTGTTTGAAGTGAAACTCAAACACCCAAAGTTTGTACATCGTTGTTTTTGTTGAAACTGTTTGGTAAAATGTAGACGCCCTCAGTAATATATTAGATGTAGATGAGTGAGTGGCCTTACACCTCATGCTGCCATATACCAGCATTAGGGCAAATTGTGGATATTCCTCATAGTGTTGAGTCGACATTTTACTTAAATAATCATTATACAAAAACCATTGGCAAATGGCATTATATCCAGTTTGGCATAATAACCAGGGCCCCTATTCTCGAAAGGATCCTAGCCCTAGGATATCCTAACTTAGGACAAATACTAGGATAGGTTCTGATTTGTCCTAAGTCTATCTTAGTGGAAGTCAACATGGTGTGGTTCTTGTTTGTTCACCAATTTTGACGTTGTCAAACAAAATAACTCGCCTAAATTACATTTGAATTTACAACAGCACACAGTTTTGATGAGTTAAGAAGAGTTTTTTGTGTATATATTATCATTGTATCGGTAATGAATATACACACTTGTTGCAATGCACATATTCTTTAGATCTACAAAAGAGATTTGTTCAATTCTTACCTATTCTCGGCCTTTTTAATCACAACATTGCTCTTTACTGTCACATTGCCGTGAAATGTCAATGTCAAGGCCAACTTGATAGGGGAAGTAGCTCCTGTTTATTTCCTAGGTGAATTTTCAGTTTGTGAGATGACACATAATGAGAGTTCAAGTCATGGTTTTCATAAAAAAACAAATAAAATGAATTTTTTTTTTACACTTATCTTATTGCTTTTTTGGCAAAATTTCAAACTCTGAAGTAAAAATGTTGTCTCCTTGTCAAATAAAGAATTTTCAAAACTTCAAAACTACTATATAGTGTGATGAAAATATCGAATATATTAACATAAACAGATATGAAATCAATTTTTTGTCTGTGTTGATTTTTATTCAGATTTTTTTATCACGGGCCACTTTCTTTGGCCTTGAGTGTATAACAATACTTTTTCTGGAAACATGGTAATTCGAACAAATAGATATTAAAAAATCTCATTAAATATTTTAAATCTATTCAAGTAATAATTCACTGGATACAAAATGAGTATTTTAATTATAACTATAATCAATTATTATTTCTTCTAGATCTACTAACTGCAGCAAAAGCTGAATTTCACCGCTTTCAAGCTTTTTACTTCGATTTCTAGTCTTACCATTTATCTTGTCAACGAGACTGTGTTTTTTATGGAATGAATCATGGGTAATATTTAGGGGAATCCCCAACTTAATGAATGTTTTTCTATCTCACCTACTGAAGAGCTCGCTATCCTAGCTAGGATCGGTAGCTCAAGTTAGGACAGAGATAGGAGAATGGGTCTTATCCTAACGGTAGGATGTCCTAACTCCTGTCCTAACTAGTTAGGATCTGTCTTAGATGGGACACTTTCGAGAATAGGCACCCTGGGCCCCGTTCCTCAAAGCGATCGTAGCGCTACGACTGTCGTAAGTCTATGTTAAAGTATGGGAGTTACGATCACCTTAGCGCTACGACAGTCGTAAGTCTATGTTAAAGTATGGGAGTTAGGATCATCTTAGCGCTACGACAGTCGTAAGTCTATGTTAAAGTATGGGAGTTACGATCATCTTAGCGCTACGACAGTCGTAAGTCTATGTTAAAGTATGGGAGTTACGATCATCTTAGCGCTACGACAGTCGTAAGTCTATGTTAAAGTATGGGAGTTACGATCATCTTAGCTCTACGACAGTCGTAAGTCTATGTTAAAGTATGGGAGTTACGATCATCTTAGCGCTACGACAGTCGTAAGTCTATGTTAAAGTATGGGAGTTACGACCTTAAGCGCTACGACAGTCGTAAGTCTATGTTAAAGTATGGGAGTTACGATCACCTTAGCGCTACGACTGTCGTAAGTCTATGTTAAAGTATGGGAGTTACGTCATCTTAGCGCTACGATCGCTTTGTGGAACGGGGCCCTGGGTATTATAAGGGCAGGAAACCCGTGCCATTATAACCAGGGCGCACTGGAAATGGAAAAACGCTCCATGATTATCTTTCGAAAACCTTATCGGTTCAGACAGCTTACATCCTGGTAGGATACGCAAAAGTACAGTTCGGTTCAGATTTCATCATGGCACAAGCATTTAGGAATTAATTATTTTTTTTCAATTTCAAGAAAAATTTATATGTTACGTATATCCTGAAAATGGATTTGAAGCCAAATAAACATTGAATGCATTCTTTAAATTAATGGTTCTGTTACCACAATAATGCCCACATCTATGTACAGATATCATGTATCACACGTGCGATTCACGTTCTGTAGTTACCCGTGGTTTGAGGAGTTGGGCTTGAAGTGGTTCGCGTTTCCCGGCGTGTCGAAGATGCTACTTGATTGTGGCGGCATTGAGTTTCCCGCAATCCCTTTCAACGGCTGGTACATGGGGACAGAGGTCGGGGCCAGGAATTTGTGTGACGCAGCAAGATACAATATGACTGAAGTAAGTGGTGTCCCAAGTTCGCATGATGCGGATTAAAACGTCATTACAGTAGGCGATTTGCTATGTGGACGTCTGTAACGTCGTTACATAGAAAGTCACCTACGTAGGCTACGTTCGAAGGGACGTCTGTGCCACCGCACGATACGTCACTTAGGTTGGTGATGTGGCACATGGACGTCTGTGACACCACACGGTACTAAATCACCCAGGTAGGTCATGTCTGACGGGTACATCTGTAAAGCCTGAAACTACAACGTCACTCAGGTTGACGGGGACGTCTGTGACACCGCACGATACATCGTCACTCAGGTAGGTGATAGTGACGGGGACGTCTGTGACACCACACGATACATCGTCACTCAGGTAGGTGATAGTGACGGGGACGTCTGTGACACCACACGATACAACGTCACTTAGGTAGGTGATAGTGACGGGGACGTCTGTGACACCACACGATACAACGTCACTCAGGCAGGTGATAGTGACGGGGACGTCTGTGACACCACACGATACATCGTCACTCCAGGTAGGTGATGTGTGACGGGGACGTCTGTGACACCGCACGATACATAGTCACTCCAGGTAGGTGATAGTGACGAGAACGTATGTGACACCACACGATACAACGGCATTCAGGTAGGTGGTATGTGACGGGGACGTCTGTGACACCATATGATGCAACGTCACTCAGGTAGGTGATATGGCACATGGACGTCTGTGACACCACACGATACAACGTCACCCGGATAGGGTGATAGTGACGGGGACGTCTGTGAAATTACATGATACAACGTCACTAAGGTAGGTGGTGATGTGACATGGACGTCTGTGACACCGCACGATACATCGTCACTCAGGTAGGTGATAGTGACGGGGACGTCTGTGACACCAAACGGTACATCTTCACTCAGGTAGGTGATAGTGACATGGACGTCTGTGACACCACACGGTACGTCACTTATGTAGGTGATAGTGACATGGACGTCTGTGACACCACATGATACATACATAGTCACTCGGGTAGGTGATGATGATAGTGGCGGGGACGTCTGTGACAATTACACGATACGTCACTCAGGTAGGTGATGTGTGACGAGGACGTCTGTGACACCGCACGATACAAAGTCACTCCAGGTCGGTGATAATGACGACATGGACGTCTGTAACACCACACGATACAACGTCACTCAGATAGGTGATGTGGCACATGGACGTCTGTGACACCGAACGATACTACATCACCAAGGTAGGTGATGTCATGGACGTCTGACACCACACGATCTGTAACGCCTGAAACTACAACGTGACACCAGGTAGGTGGTGCGTGACAGGGATGATGTGACACATGGACGTCTGTGACACGCACACGATACAGCGTCGGTGAGGTAGGTGATGTGACACATGGACGCCTGTGACACCGCACGATACATAGTCACTCAGGGGTGAGGTGATGTGGATACAACGTCACATGGACGTCTGTGACACCACACGATACATAGTCACCCAGGTAGGTGATGTGACACATGGACGTCTGTGACACCACACGATACATAGTCACCAGGTAGGTGATGTGACACATGGACGCCTGTGACACCACACGATACATAGTCACTCCAGGTAGGTGATGTGACACATGGACGCCTGTGACACCACACGATACAGCGTCACCCAGGTAGGTGATGTGGCACATGGACGTCTGTGACACCGCTCGATACAGCGTCACCCAGGTAGGTGATGTGGCACAAGGGGTTCATCTGTTACGCCTGAAGGTACGTCGCTGGTGATAGTCACAGGCACGTGCTGTGTGACAGTGTGATATTTTCACGATACAACGTGACTCCTGTAGATGAAGTGTGAGTGACACCACACGATGTTAAGTGTCAGGAAGCAAAGGAACTGCGTAATGGCAAGTCAAGGTATTTATACCTTTGGCTCAGATACTTAATTGATGCTTAAAGGCGTGTGAAGCCCATTTCTGGCGTCTCCCGTCGTGATATTGCTGGAATATTGCTAGAAGCAGCGTAAAACCAAACTCACTCTCTCTCTCAGTTATTATTTTCTACACAACGTCTGACATGGTAATTTTATCAATTTTCAGAAAGTTGCGACAAAACTGGGCCTGAACACCAAGACGGTCTCCTCACTGTGGCGTGACCGAGCCCTAGTGGAGGTGAACGTTGCTGTACTGCATAGTTTCCAGGTACGGTTGATCTTGTAAGCTTATAGCTCTTGATGTCATCAACAACCGACAATAACGTTATTGGCCTGTTATACGCAGGGGTCGGTATTAGCGGAGTCATAAACTCGCCATAGTCTTTGTTTAAAAGTATTTATTGCCTTTCCTTCTACCAACGCGAGGGCGCGGTGGGCGAGTGATGTTAGGCGCCAGGCTAGTGATCCAGCGAGCTTCAGGTGCCGGGATCGAGCCCGCCTTTGACCGGGTGTAAAATCCTTGGAGTCAACTCTTTCAGTGTTGTCACAACCCCTAGTGTATAGTACACAACCCTGCACCCTTAAAAGAACCCAAGAAACGACGAGATGGTGGCCACAAACACCTAGTTGCGGGTACAGCAACGTGCAGTAAACTTGGACAAAGAACTGTGACCATGTGTTCCAGTCCACCCAGCTGTGAATGGGTACCTCGTAAGGACGGGAAAGCCATATTAACTTGGTGCGTCTAATGGCTGCAAGAATTGTATGATCCACAGGGAATTGAGATTAAATATGATGTATGCATGTATGCATGTATGTATAACCGATGTAATTATATTTAGTATTTGCTTTTGATAAATACGTTTTTCACGGAAACCCAACGAAAAGAATCCAATTACCCAGTCATGTGAAATATCTTCTTGTGTCTTCATTAACGGTGTCGTCCTCGTTTTGCCACAGGCGGCAGGTGTGACCATTTTCGATCATCACACAGCGTCCGAATCCTTCATGCAGCATCTCCAGCCAGTCATGTGAAATATCTTCTTGTGTCTTCATTAACGGTGTCGTCCTCGTTTTGCCACAGGCGGCAGGTGTGACCATTTTCGATCATCACACAGCGTCCGAATCCTTCATGCAGCATCTCCAGAACGAGCAGCGCCTGCGAGGAGGGTGCCCCGCTGACTGGGTGTGGGTGGTGCCCCCGATGAGCGGCAGCCAGACCGAGGTGTTTCACCAAGAGATGATGGTCTACAAACTCAAGCCTTCCTATGAGTACCAGGTAATGACTGTGTCCAGCCACACGAAAGTCTTTCCCTCAAGTACTGTCAACACCCAAAGTTCCAATTCCTGTTGTATTTCCTTAATTTCTCAGCGAAATACATTTAGTATTTTGGGAATTTATCAGAACAGGATAGTAGCATGAGAAAGGTAACGGTTAAATATGTTGGAAGGCATTTAACAGATTTGGTTAGTTCGCTAGTTGTTTTAACCGTTAACTCGTTGTTTTTTACAAAGGTTCTGATTGCTTGGACAAAAGTTGGGGACATAAGCCTTCAGGAAATCCCCCCTGCATTAAGGATTCTACGGATCAGTAATATGAGTATCCAGATAAAATTAATATCTCTGACCAAATATGTATAGAAGGGGGTTCATTCTATGTGTATGATACAGATCTTCATTTTTCTGTAGAAGCCATTAGACCAATGTAAGAGGTTCTGTTTGTATTCCAGGAGGATGCGTGGGCGGCTCATAGCTGGAAGGACAAGGCCTTGGAACAAAAGTATCTGAAGGTGCAACAGAAACGGTATGTGAACCATATACTGAAGATCAACGTTAATCATGACACAGTGTCACTTCTCCACTAACTCAATCTGTACAAAACTATGAAGGTAGTTCTGTTATATTTCGGGCGTTGGGGTAGCCTAGTAGCTAAAGCGTTCGCTCGTCATGCCGAAGATCCGGGTTCGATTCCCTACATGGGTACAATGTGTGAAGCCCATTTCTGGTGTTCCCCGCTGTGATATTGCTGGAATATTGCTAAAAGAGGCGTAAAACCATACTCACTCACTCACTAGTACCCACAGGCCCTCGTGTCTTCGCGAGGATTAAAGATGTTAAAAAAACATAAAACATTTGAGATGACCCCCGACTCGAAATGCTTCACAGTACAATACATTATGACAAGGCCGGACTCTTCAGTATACCCTACCCGCTTGCTTTGCCGATCGCTACGCTACCCTCGCATGTAATCGATTAAAACTTAATGTAAACATAATCATGGATGATTGGCCTATCGAGCACCACTCATGACACCTACCAATTCTTTATTGTTATTTCTGCAAGTCGATTGAAACCCGATTTTGACCCCCAACTAAACGATCTTGACACAAATGGATGACGATGTGTCCGCACAAAACGGGGGTGTGGTCAAAGCAAGCCCTCTGGTTGGTTGATCCTTGTTTAGGAGACATTTACAACTGATGCTTTTTTTTGAGAAGCCATTCCTCGAAAAATATTCTTACATTAAACAGTCGATGAAAGAAAAAAATCCCGCAAATTTATAAAGAACTGCAGATTTGCAAGCGTTGACCAATCACAAACAAACTTAATCGTTAATCTTCGCCGAGACACGAGGGCCTGTGCTAGTACCTGGACACATTCTATTTCTGTCACGCTATTCTAAAGCACTTTGACTTTCGGCGCATCGTTTGCAATCGATGGAAGCAAAAATACTATCACGCAAGTTTTAAGTTTTAACGTTTGGGTCATCCACAGTTTAGGTGACCATAAAGACATTCAAAAGTTGTTTGTCCACGGGTGCATTGTTTGCAATCACTTGAAGCACCCGTAAAATACCACCATGAACGTTCTATTTTTTTGCTCTATAACAGTATCTGTTATCAATGGTGATGACTCTGTCCACACTGTCCTCAGACTGGCCAAATCCCAGGACAGTGCGGTGGCCGGCCATGTCAACTGTGTCATCCTGTACGCCACCGAGACCGGCAGATCGGAGCGCTTTGCAAGACGTTTGTGTCAGACATTCAAGCGTGCTTTTACTACCGAGGTGAGCTTCCAGTGTCATAACGCCACACGGTTGTGTTAGACATTCAGTCATGACTAAAAATTTAAAAAAAACTGATTATTTCATATTCTATAACTCATATGTTTTTTATGTGATATAGCATGTCCAGCATACGGTTTCCTAAAAACAATGATATATTGTTTAATTTGAACATTCACGGACAATTATTTTGAAGTAGTGATCATGACTGAAAAACTAACATCTTGCCAACCCGAGAAAAAGGTAATTGTGGGTCAGTCTGGAAGGTTCCCACATGGTACAGCGATCAAGTGACCGGACTGTGTGATTGATGACAGTCGTGGCAGTTATTGACAAATGTCCTAATCTAATAACCGTCGTCCCTATACAGGTCGTGTGTATGGAGGACACCGACGTCAACGAGCTGAAGCAGCAAGACCTCATCCTCGTCGTCACCAGCACATTCGGCAACGGCGACGGCCCGGAGAATGGCGAGGTGGGCATTGCTTGTTTGAAATCTTTATCATAGCAAAAGATAAGGGTTGAGAAATCGAGTGAGAGATAGGCAAACAGAGAGAAGGAGAGATAAAGTGAAAGGGACATGTAGCTACGGAATGGACAACAGATGGGAAAGACAAGACAGAAAGAGGAAGAACAAAAGGAATGATATACATGTACCCGTAACAAGAGAGAGATTAGGAGATGACATAGACAGGGAGCATTTTCAGAACACACGGAACATATTTATTGATAAGATTGTAAATATTGTGACTAATTGTGTGGTTTGTGTCTTACAGCCTTTCGCCAAGAGTCTAGAGAAACTCAAACAGTCGAAGTAAGTATTCCTTTCCCAAACGCTCAAATGTTATTAGATGTGAAGGCATAAATATTCTCGCATTTTGTTAAAACGAATATATACCGTATTTTAGTATCGGAGTCAGTATAATGTGTCTGAATGGTGTGGGTATTCATGCTTAACTGCGGCATGGTATCTCAGTGAGCTAGCACTATAAAACCAGCTTAAGTCTGGGCTAGTACAAGCAGCCACACATACACATACATGCACGTCGTCACATGAGCGAATATTCTTAAGTGCGACGTTAAACCCCTTTTTTCACTTCACCTCACCTCACCTCACCTCACCTCACCCCGTGATGCACTCCCTCATGTTGACATGTGATTCAGAAACAAGGGGACTGAAGTGGGAGACAATATCGTGGATAATGGAAGACCACTAAAAAGCATCAGGTACGTATTTACCCACTCACATCGCAACACCTTTAAGTGACGATATTTCAAATGAGAATAGTCAATGTACAGTGATGTTCAATCGATAGTAGTATGTAAAAACACTTTCGTAACAATCGTCTACCTTGAAATAGAATATTACATTTGTTGCTCTAAAACGGTTAAAATACGCTTGGAATTAAAATAAAGTTGGTTTCAGTTCTTGTTCTAATTTAAAAGATACGGAGTGTTTGGACTGGGATCGAGGGCCTACCCCCATTTCTGCGCCTTCGGTCACTTCCTGGACTCGCTGCTGGGTGACCTTGGAGGTCAGAAGATCTTGGAGACGGGAGAGGGTGATGAATTGAGTGGCCAGGAGCAATCGTTTAAGACCTGGGCTCAGCGCGCCTTTAAGGTGAGGTGCACAGATGAAACATACGTACAATATTGATACAGTGATTGATACAGTGATACACTAGTGAGCTGGGTTCTGTTTGAACTTTGAACAATAGAGAAGGTGGTGTTGTAACTATTGAAAGGCGAACGGGTAACTTTATCTTTCAAACACTCAACCTCCCCACGAGCAATATTCCACCAGCCTCAACACCCGGTGTCCTCTTTTTACAATAGTGTCTGTAAGTGTCGCGGGGCGCTACTTCCGGTACTAAGCTGGTTCCCGGTTCCCTTTGCGCGCGCCAACTCGCGATATGCGAGACGGGGCCCAGCTAACTTCCCATACAAGATTTCCGGTGCAAAGCGTATATTCACAAACCAGTTCTGGTTCCAAATTGCGCGACCGCCAAATATGACTTTACTCGACCGGACCAAGTGTACAACCATGCTTGGCTGTCACAGCTGTCGACAGTCGCAATAGTTGGCTAATTTAGGGATGGTTAGATCGGAATTTCTTATTCCTGCAAGTAGTATCGGCTCCTTACTGTCAACCGATAACCATGAGACCATTCGAAAAGGTATGATACGTTGTTTGTCACCGAAAGTACTAAGGTCTCGCGAAGTGCCGTCATCTACTTACGGGCCCAGTTGAAATACCCTGTTCCAGTTTGACATGGATAACCAACCCAAGTCCTTGTTTCATCCTCAAGATGGTGTCTCAGGTTAAAGTAACATCAAGTACCCAGTTTATGGTGTTTTTGTAATGCCGTAGCTAGCAGACGAATATAGGGCGAATAAAATTTTCAAACCTACATCTCGCAGATTCTAACACATCGAAGCGGCTTCATTTTCTCGGCCCTTTAATACACCAACGTTGTGTAAATGCATTTTGAATTCTGTCAGACATTCATCATTTTCTTCGTCTGTCTGCTGCGAAATTGCGTTTTCTATCAATTTGCAAAGCCCTTCGCTTTTTGAAAACTTCCATTTGGAAAGATTATTCAGCCGTGTTTCGTGGTTTCAAAGTACCGCCACCTGGATTCTAGATATTCGCTTCCGAGGTAGTGAAGGGGGTGAAATGCTGGGATAAGGGACAGGGACTGGGTGCGCTTGATTTGTGACTTCATGACATTGGTGCCACTACAAGTCTCCTTCTAAACACCCCCTCTCAACTGCAGGCCTCCCTCAAGGCGTTCGATGTGGACTTGGACGTGACAAACCTCGCCGGGGACCTGTCCAACAACGACGACACGTGGACTGCCGACAGATTCCGTATAGCAAAACATCCTGACAAGAATGAGGGTGACTTGTTCACAGGTAAAGTTAAACCTTGTAAAATCTCCCTTACATACAGGAAACACGTAATGCGGCATAAACTAACATTCATTCACTCACTCTGTCGTATCTTCTTCCAGCTCTAGGCAAGATCAGCAACAAGACTGTCGTGCCCTGCAAGGTCCTTGAGAGTAAACAGCTCCAGTCATCCACGTCTCCGTATGTACTTCCAGTGTCACTTCATTTGTACCGTATATTATTTTTATACTTGCACTGGGTCGCTCTGAAGTGCCCGAGAATCACAATCAACTCGGTAGCATTTATCCTAAGCTGAGTCCATTACAAATTATGACTGTCTGCATATTCTGATCGTACAAGCTCTAAACGTACAATTTATTGACATTTGTAAATGTCCATTAAATATGACTTATGGTATAAATATTCCTTAAGTACTATTCTACCATTTCCTATTTACTCACAAATGCTCCTCGACCCGTGAAGATCCGGGTTAAAATTGATCTTCAGTAACCCATGCTTGTCGTAAGAGGCGACTAACGGGATCGGTGGTCAGGATCAATGACTTGGTTGACTCATATCCCAATTACGCAGACCGATGCTCATGATGTTGATCTCTGGACCGTTATTTACAGACTGTCGCCATATAGCTGGAATATTAATGAGTGCGGCGTTAAACAACAAACAAACACAATTGCGCCACTGAATGTCCCCCCATTACATGGTCTTCATCTGTTTCTTAATTTCTCGTAAGCTGTTGGTAAAGATACATACGGTGGCTCTGCCTTAAAGTCTTTGACACTAATATGAATCTCACTGTATTCATCCAGGCGGCAAACCATCCTGGTCCGACTCGGTACTAATGCGGTCACTGCCATGAAGTACTGCCCAGGTGACCACGTCGCCATATTTCCCTCAAATCCACCGGAAATGGTCAACGCCATCTTGTCTCGTCTCCACGACGCGCCACCTGACGGACAAATCATGCGGATAGAGATGATGCAGGAGGAGACAACCGCACCAGGTAAACTAAAAACCTTAAAATTGAAAACCATTTTAAACCACAGACATTTCATTCTTAATCCGTCACTCACTTGACCCTAATATATAGAAAAGCACAGGTGACCCAGTCAACTAAGGCACCAGTTTGCTGTACAGAGTTGCCTCCCATAAGCGTACCAGTATCCTAAGATCGTAGTTCGACCTGATCATGTTTCTGGGTTTGTTACCACAATACCACTGTCCGTGGGTGTCCAGGGATGGGTCATTCACCGATTTTGTACTATATGTTTTAGAGTATGGGCATTTATAATGTTCCAGACTCCACCAAGAAGTGGGTGTCATGGGATAAGCTCCCGGCATGTTCCCTAAGAACCGCCTTCACCCGTTATCTGGATGTGACCACGCCCCCTACCCAGGACTTCCTGAAGACGCTGTCCACTTTGGCAGACCGGAACCAGGACAAGGACAGGCTGGACCTGTTGACCACTGTGAGTCGACTATATGACACATATGGGCGCCAATAGTGCATCATTTGATGAAACAATTGTATTGAACTTCATATTTTCCTGCAAATTGTACGTAAGTGAAAAGAACCTAAAAGCGTAATTATAGATGATAAATTCTCTTTCCTCAGAACTGAAATCACAAATAATGCCCAATTTGGGTGTAATATTGGTATTCACTTCGAAACGTCACAGTGTAATATTGGGTATTCATTGTCGCGTTTCGAAACGTCACAGTGACAATTCGGCCATTTGTATGTGCGATGTCGCACGTTTTGATTTTTTCTATTCCCTCCAAAGGGCGACACGCGACAAAGCGACAATTTCAAGGTCAAAATGTTGTCTTTATGTAAGATGTGTAAAAACAGCCTAAAAATTTACTAAAACGCGACAATGCGGCAACGCGACATTTTGATGGATGTCGCGTGTCGCGTTTTGGTTTATTTTGCCTCATTTTACTTTTTTTTGAGAGTGCGACAACGCGACAATGTCCCTCCTAGGATTCCATACTACACGGACATTATCCATTTAAAACTGTTCCTTTTTTCAGAATTCCAGCGCTTACGAGGAATGGAGGGATACGAAGAACCCGACTATCCTTGAGGTTTTGGAGGAATTCCCCTCCCTCCGGGTACCCACCTCCCTGCTGGTCACGCAGCTTCCCTTCTTGAAACAGCGTTACTACAGCATCAGCTCTTCTCACGACGCGAACCCCAAAGAGGTTCATGCAACTGTCGCCGTACTCAAGTACACAACTGAAGGTCATTAATACCTGGTCATACGACCGAGGATTGCTTTGAATAATATTAAAATTTGTACTTACACTTACGTATCTAAATAATAGTTCGATTTAATATCTCATATTCATACACACGACGTAATCGCGCTAGTCGAGCCATGGCCTGTAAACAAAAAGAGCAAACGAAGATCAGTGAGGTCTTTAATTAGATCGGCAACGTTTAGCCTCTCCGTGATAATGCTTAGATATTGCTAAAAGCGGTGTAAAACCATACCCACTCACTCACTCTGCTTTCTGTATTGTTTCATTGTCAGACAAAGATTGGTTCCTTAAAAATAACTCTATATATAGAGTTGTGCTCATATCACTGCCGCCGGTTATGTACGGTTTGATTTTATTACCTGATCAAACCAAGACACTGCATGTCTCTTCGGTCGAGTGAGGGAGTGAGATGATGCATTTACGCCGCATCGCCAAAATATCACAGCCATGACACTGGAAACTATGAATCAGTTTTAGAATAAAACAAACGGAATCTAAAAACAGATAGAAACACGGTTGATAGAGCAAGATAGAGAGTGCATACCCACTTACTTATATCAGAAGCTAAAACAAAACAATTTTAAGTTCAATTTAAAAATTTGGCACCAAATTAAAAGTGTTTGTTCCTGCAGCTGGCGTTGAACGTGAGGGTGTGTGTTCCGGTTGGCTGAACAGACAAAAGGTCGGAGAGGTCATCCCGTGCGCTATAAGAGCGTAAGTAATCAATAAACTGCATAAACTGCATAATCTGCAAATCGTTATGCTTATAATAGTGTTGAATCTTATTTGAGTTTTAACATCTGTATCCATTTCTGTCGGTGACAGCGCCCCCAACTTCCGCCTCCCAGAGGACAAGACGTTGCCGGTGATGATGGTGGGACCAGGGACAGGTGTCGCCCCCTTCAGGAGCTTTTGGCAGCAGCGAGAGGTGGACATGGCCAAAGGACCTGCTCCGACCAGTGAGTCTGTTATACATCTAGACAACGTCCAGAGCCTCCTGAGATGATGGCATCGCAACATGTCACCATTAATTTTACCGGCAATTGAAATTATGGGTGTTGCAAATTGTGGATGTGACAGTATATGTTTGACTTTGACGTCAGTCGCCATTGTGGTTATGCACGTGAAACATACTATTCTTCACAAAAACTGACCGGGGATTGTATTTTCAAAAAGAATTTAGGAGTAGAAATATCAGATCTTGAATTCTCATATCAAGTGGACGAATAAGATATTCTATTGTAGAGTTTCTCGTATAGATGGTGAAAACACAGTCATACGCTGGTTTAGATTTAATTTAATTTTAGCATACGCTGCAAAAATAATAGCACCTTTCACATGCAGACCATCTGAGGCTTATGTTACAGGGGACCCGCGTTGATCCGGGGAAGAATTGATCTTCAGTAGCCCATGCTTGTCGTCAGAGGCGACTAACGGGACCGGGTGGTCAGGCTCGCTGACTTAGTTGACACATGGCATCGGTTCCCAATTGCGTAGATCGAAGCTCATGCTGTTGATCACACTGGATTGTCTGGTCCAGACTCAATTATTTACAGACCACCGCCATATCGCTGGAATATTGCTGAGCGCGGCCTAAAACTATTCTCACTCACTCAATAAGTTATGCTACATAGACACAAGTTTTGAGGCCCGTAGGGACTGCTGCTGGATTCTTGCCGCTCTTTTCTTCAGACGGAAATCGGCGTGGTTGGGGTGACATGAGGCTGTATTTCGGCTGCCGATCGTCCAGCCAGGACCATGTGTACGACTCGGAGCTGGCGGCCATGAAGACACAGAACGTGCTGGCCGACTACTACGTGGCCTTGTCCCGCGAACCAGACAAACCCAAGGTGATGTCATCCTGGTTTGAATGTCAGTATGGCATCTGTATCATTCATTGACAAGTTGTCTCTGTTCTGATATTTTGCCATTAAAATTGTAACCTCTGTCAAACAATCGTAAAACTAGTCGGCCTGAGCATCATTTTCAGACTATTGAGTAAGACAAGAACAAAGTTGAAGTAGATGTCATGTCCTGAACATGCAATTTGATAATTGGTAAGCAAGACAGGATCATCTTTGACCCAAAAACAGAACATCGCTAAGACCAGAAACTCCAGTAAACTGTACTGTGGGTTTGTTAAAGGCAGGAGGAGTAGATACCAAATTGTGTGTCATATCAAAAGCGACAGGCATTTGTTGGCCAACACTGCAGATGATAGTGTTGACATGCTCCTTCTTATGCACCACCATTTCATTTCGTCAAATATTCCTTCTCCAGAAGCATTGATAGTGAATTGTTCCTTGTCCTCAAGACTTGATAGTGAAATGTTCCTTGTCCTCAAGACTTGATAGTGAAATGTTCCTTCTCCTCAAGACTTCATAGTGAAATGTTCCTTCTCCACATTTGATAATGAAATGTTCCACCTCCTTCACACATGATAGTAATGTGCTCCATCACCAGCATCATGACAGTGAAATGTCCCACCACCTCCATCATGATAGTAAGATGTTCCTTCTCCTCCAGATTTGATAGTGAAATGTTTCGTCTCATCCGCAGATGTACGTCCAGAACATGATGCAACAGCAAGCCAAGGACGTCTACAACACCATGGTTAACGCCGGGGGACACATCTACATATGCGGCGACATAACAATGGCCGAAGACGTCAAGCAGACATTGGAACGAATTCTTGCTGAACACGGAAAGCTGACCCCGGAAGCAGCCAGAGACTACATACGTCAACTGAGGGTAGGTATAAAGACTGGTAGCAGCAACATCATATTTTTATCAACTGAGGTTACGTATGAATACTAGGAGGAGCCACACGCTATGTTCCTCAACCAAGGTAAGTATAGACTTGCAACTGCCACATCCTTTGTTCGTCAACTGAGGGTACGTATACGTACTAAGAGGAGCCACATCCTTGTTCGTCAATATAGACTAAGAGGAGCCACATCCTTTGTTCGTCAACTGAAGGTACGTATAAATACTAGGAGGAGCCATATCCTTTGTTCGACAACTGAAGGTACGTATATAGACTAAGAGGAGCCACATCCTTTGTTCGTCAACTGAGGGTACGTATATAGACTAAGAGGACCCACATCCTTTGTTCGTCAACTGAGGGTACGTATAAAGACTAAGAGGAGCCACATATTTTTGTTCGTCAACTGGAGCCACAGGGTCAACGTATATAGACTAAGAGGAGCCACATCCTTTGTTCGTCAACTGAGGGTACGTATATAGACTAAGAGGAGCCACATCCTTTGTTCGTCAACTGAGGGTACGTATATAGACTAAGAGGAGCCACATCCTTTGTTCGTCAACTGAGGGTACGTGTAGAGACTAAGAGGAGCCACATCCTTTGTTCGTCAACTGAGGGTACGTATATAGACTAAGAGGAGCCACATCCTTTGTTCGTCAACTGAAGGTACGTATATAGACTAAGAGGAGCCACATCCTTTGTTCGTCAACTGAGGGTACGTATATAGACTAAGAGGAGCCACATCCTTTGTTCGTCAACTGAGGGTACGTATAAAGACTAAGAGGAGCCACATCCTTTGTTCGTCAACTGAAGGTACGTATATAGACTAAGAGGAGCCACATCCTTTGTTCGTCAACTGAGAGTAAGTATATAGACTAAGAGGAGCCACATCCTTTGTTCGTCAACTGAGGGTAAGTATATAGACTAAGAGGAGCCACATCCTTTGTTCGTCAACTGAAGGTACGTATAAAGACTAAGAGGAGCCACATCCTTTGTTCGTCAACTGAGGGTACGTATAAAGACTGGGGTACGTATGAAGAGGAGGAGCCACATCCTTTGTTCATCAACTTTGTTCGTATAAAGACTAGGAGGAGCCACACGCTATGTCCTTCAACCAAGGTAAGTATAGACTTGCAACTGCCACATCCTATGTTTGTCAACTGAGGGTACGTATATAGACTAAGAGGAGCCACATCCTTTGTTCGTCAACTGAAGGTACGTATAAAGACTAAGAGGAGCCACATCCTTTGTTCGTCAACTGAAGGTACGTATATAGACTAAGAGGAGCCACATCCTTTGTTCGTCAACTGAGGGTACGTATATAGACTAAGAGGAGCCACATCCTTGTTCGTCAACTGAGGGTACGTATATAGACTAAGAGGAGCCACATCCTTTGTTCGTCAACTGAAGGTACGTATATAGACTAAGAGGAGCCACATCCTTTGTTCGTCAACTGAGGGTACGTATATAGACTAAGAGGAGCCACATCCTTTGTTCGTCAACTGAGGGTACGTATATAGACTAAGAGGAGCCACATCCTTTGTTCGTCAACTGAGGGTAAGTATAAAGACTGGCAGCAGGAACATCATATTTTTATCAACTGAGGGTACGTATGAATACTAGGAGGAGCCACATCCTTTGTTCGTCAACTGAGGTTAAGTATAAAGACTAGGAGGAGCCACACGCTATGTTCCTCAACCAAGGTAAGTATAGACTTGCAACTGCCACATCCTATGTTTGTCAACTAAGGGTAAGTATATAGAGTAAGAGGAGCCAAGTCCTTTGTTCGTCAACTAAAGGTATGTACAGAGACGTGTGTGTTTTTGCCAGATGAGTAAGTGATGAGACTCGGATGAGCCACATGTTATGTTCGTCAACCCAGTTTAAGTATGGAAACTGGGAGGAGCCAGAGACTATGTCCGTCACCTGAATATATTGTATTGCCCCTAAAAGCAATGAATGAGTGAAAAAATATACCTCGTTTTGGTTATAGTATCTCTTGTCAATTCAAACCGAAAAGCAGGGGATGATTGTAGTTGGGATTCACATGATCTAGACATTATCTGAGGGACTGATAACTTTTTGTCTTGCAGAGTGACAAGAGATACCACGAAGATATATTCGGTGTTGGTCAGAAGAAAACAAAAGCAGACAACAGGTCACCTGCAAAGACAAACTGAAGCCCAGAAGGTACGGCTTGGATGATCTCATCAATATTGTTGCATGGATTATTTGCATGATTATTTATTATAGTATACATGATTATATACATGCCACTTCACTCCCTTAGCTGGGAGCTTATTTCACTCGTTGAAAGTTTTCGACGTGTTCTTGAAGGAAATAGTTTCTCTTAACGTTGTGCTTCTCAAACCAGCTATATTGTTCTCTCGATATCCACGAGGTTTTTTTTTGTATCTTTTAGTAAGTTTTAGTTTTGAAATACCTTGAGTTATGATTTTGCTTCGAAGTAAATAAAACAATATGGGGAGAATGAACAGGGGCCTTGAGAGTAGCATCCGCGATCAGTGCCTAGTTTTTTTAAGTATCAAGGCAGCACACGTGTCATCCAGGTCGTGGTAAACTTATCGGATTAAAAAAAACAAGGTCAGGTTGTACACAATGTTAAAATCAACACTCTTGTCTTTTTGATACCGTCATCATATCCTCTTTACGCATTCATGATTAGGAATACTCATGTTCTTCTGTTCTTTTATTCAGACCGGAAGACGTTAAAAGCATCTCTGGTGCCAACTAAACAGTCCAGCTACGAAGTGCACAAGCATGGGATTGTCAAGCATCAAGAAAAGGGCTTTAATGTCAACTGACAGTAAATCATAATGCTGTGAAATCTGAAATCTGTAAAAGACGATAAATTGTAGGATGGTCATGTGAGTGTCAATGGCGAAATATTCTAATGAAGATAATATATTTGAAATCGACAGAAACGCCCATTGAAAAAACTACATGACGGCTGAGCTGTCCGGATGCAATCAGTTGCCTTAAACTAAGTTATAGCCTTAACTATTGTTAAACAAAGAAACAATGCAACCATATTTCGGGGCAATATATAATTATGACTGTATAATAACCTGTCATCTGGTTTGCCAGCCAAATACCTTAATGTCACTACAATACCATAATATACTGGACAAAATAAGTTAGGGATATTGTCATTTTTATGATTGATATTTTATCAGTGTGTCAATGAATAAATAGATCATTATTCATAATTTCAAAATTTACATATATCCCTAACTACTTTGTCCAATATAGCTAAAATTTTAACAAGTCGTTGAATTTTGAGAGAAACAAGGGAAAGGTTACACAAAGCAATCTTTGCGTTTCAACTGTTATAAATAAATAATACTTATGTAGTTATGATTATATTTATTTGAAGGTAGCTTTGTGAAACTGGATCCAGAGACACTGATGGAACCTTCTATAATACCGTAGTTATAGAGGGAGTTTGTGTAACAATTTTACATTTGTTACAACCGGTGGTATATCTGTATATGCCTTAGAGAGCAATTTTTGTGTCGTTTTTGATCGAAGTATGTTGATATTTACATGTACAATTATATACTCCTTTTATACTCCGAGCATACCCGGTAAAGGTTTACGCAATCGGTTCAGAATGTGCTTACCTCAGCAAATCCCTTACAGTGTTTTACACACAAAGTCACGCACAAAGCCACGTGGGTTTTCACTCTTCACGCTCAGTAGTCCACGTGATCGCATCAATGGGTAATGTTGTATACATTATGTTTTCCGTCATAGCTTACGCGTTTGAATAAAACCTGCACTGTCAACATTTTTTTATGACGAGGAACCTTTGTTTCCTGTTTGGGGCTTCTATTTTGCTTTATAGATGCTTAGAATTAGTGTCTAATCAGTTAAGTTTTGGACTGAAGCCGTGTTTGTTTTTTGTTTTATAAAAATCGCATTCGGGTTTTGAGAACAAATATATTTTTCATTTTTGTTTGTTAGCCTATAGATGGTTTTAAACCATATAATTTCCTTTTCCGACTCATTAAGTGTCTGTATTGCCATAACTATGTGACATGATATCAGAAAGTTTACTCCTTGTTCTTGAAATAAGAGAGAAACATTGTCTAATGCACAACATATGTTCAAAAATATTAAAGTTAGTTTTAAAACAAATATCTGGTTTTACAGGTATAGATAAATATACCTAGCCCATCGAAATTAACACCACAGCCCACCCACCACAATCTGTTGTCGTTGTCGCGGTATGACAATCATGTATGGCGCACTATATTTTAGGACAAAAGTCTCTTCACCCATCACTCCTACTGGCTTAGAACACACCTCTTTACGGACACCCGTACAGTTGTGATGGGTATTAAATGTCTTTATATTAATTCATCTTTTATTTTCATGCGTAAGGTGTAATTTTTTTAAATATCGTTTCTGCATGTACGATAATCATGTCTATATATTCTTATACAGAAAACAGCTGGGAATGTAAATAATAATAAATAATAAATTTTATATTGATAATAGTAACCGTCCACAAAGCGAACGTGTTTTCAGTTTGTTTATAATATGTATGCTATATGATATATCCTTTTCTTATATATTGCACTACCAGGACACACTATGTGTGGATAATAATCCAGAATCTGAACTTTTATCCATTTGCATAATTTTTTCAACATTTTTTCATCTTTATGTTTTTGAATCCAGAACATTCTAAACCAGTACCTATGTAGCTGGGCCATAATTAGATATTCCAAAATCAATAGTACATGCGATTTACGTATAATGAAAGTGTCTGACTGTCATTATCATGTATGACATAAGACAATGTGTATGTTTATGTAAGTCATTTTACATATTAATATATTTGAATTGAAATGTTCATATGAAATCAAAATGCAATTGCAGTGAACATGCAATGTAATTAAATATTTTTTATTACTTCAGTTTGTTATTTGAAACGTCCATATGGATGGATGGATGGATGGAGGAATGGAATGGATGGATGGATGGATGGAGGAATGGATGGATGGATTGGTGGATCCTATTTGAATGCCCTTAGATATTAGGAGACAATCATCACAGTGCGGGTCCCAGCATCACAATCACAATTTAATTGTATTTTAAATATTCACATCACCAGGTCTAAATGTCTACATGTAATGTGAAATTGCATCCAACAATACAAGATTCTGTAATGATTTTGTTTCTTTGATATACATGTTTGAATTCTTCGAGTATATGTTACAGGAAATATGTATAGTCAGTAAATAGTATCATTAGTATAATAGTACAGTACAACAAGAAATTATTGAGAATTTAAAGATTGTGTTTTATATATTTTTTTCACTCATTACTCACGTATTAAATGTGAATAAGCAGAACATAACTCCAGATTCAAAGACAGGTAAACAGTTAGTATTTTGTCAAGTCACCATGGGCAGCAATGCAGGCTTCAATGCGGCGGGGCATAATACTGATCAAAGAAGTTAGAAAGTCGTGGTCCATGCTGTCCCAATATCGGACCACCTCTTCTTTCATTTCAGCAATATTTGTCAGATATTTCTTATTGGCACTTTGCTTCATAAGTCCCCAAACATTTTCTATTGCATTTAGGTCAGGGCTATAGCTTGACCAATTTAATAATGTCATATTTTGGGTCCGAAACCAGGCCTGTGAATGCTTTGAACGATGTTTTGGGTCGTTGTCCCGCTGGAAAATCCAAAAATGTCCATAGAACACGTGAGCAGGTGGACTGACTGACTGACTGACTGACTGAATTTGGTTTTACGCCGCTTTCAGCAATATTCCTGCAACATCACGGCGGGGGACACCAGAAATGGGCTTCACACATTGTACCCATGTGGGGATTCGAACCCGGGTCTTCGGCGTGACGAACCAACGCTTTAACCACTAGGCTACCCACACCGCCCCAGTGAAGTAAAGCAGATGGACCGCTCACTGTTCACATGTCCCTTCAAATACACAGAGGGCGTTGCCCCTAACACAGATATGCCACCCCACACGTTAAATTTCGGACTGTACTTTGGGCGCTGATACAAAAGTTTTTCAGTTTGTTTGGTCCAGAATTTCAGTGTATTAGGAAACAACCACACAGAACTTTCATCTGAGAAAATCACATTGTCCCAGTTAAAATTTCTATGCTGTAAGCACCGGTTCAACCTTCGATCCTTTTGTTCAGGTTTCATGATCGGTGATGGAATTCCTCGACTTTTCTGCCAACCCATTGCATGCAGCTCAGTTCTAATTGTCTCCTTACAGACAGCCACAGTTCCTCTATCAATCATATCCAGCCTTAAGTTTTCTAAACTCCTTCGTTTGTTTTTAGAAACAAGAATACCAAGCCGCCTCCTTGTCGCCCGACAGTCAATTTCCTGGGCCTACCTGCGCCTCCCTGGTGCTCAATGCCATATCATTTGCAGTATCTTTCAAAACACGATAAACAGTGGGCAAAGGCATGCCTCTTCTGCTTGAAATCACTTTAGCTGATTTGAAGTCCTTGTTATAATACTCTAAAATCAACTTCCTCGTCTCTAAATCATTCATACTGAGGATCACTGAAAATGTCGTCTGCTAGCAAGTAAACAAAGGGGGATAACTCTTCACAAACTTATGAAAAAGGATAAACGGAGTTGTCTCTCTTGAATGAAACCAAGCACTTGATAGCTGGTCAAGGTTGTTTATACTAGAAATCCAATTAAACATATTCCTAAAATTCTGAATAATTTCTGGACTGAACTACACTCAACCTTTGATCCTGCTGTATTTTATATACAATAAGAAGACATATGTATGAAAACATGACTGATTTTAAAAGTAATATCATTATTTCAGTAATTCACCCATGTTCAAATAAAAATTCATGAACACAATGAAATAGAAAATCATGAAAACCAATGTGCTGTACCGTGTTCCTAAATATGAAGACATGTCTATGAAAACCAGACTGACTTTAAGAGTAATATGAATATTTCAGTAATTCAAATGATTTCAGTAAATATGTATAATTTTGTTTCTTAAATTTCAGGAATTATGTAATTATTTCCTGTAACATATACGCGTTTCCGTGTTATGTCACTCACTGATGTCCTATCGATTGATCGGTGTTTATTCCAAATTTGGACCCGTGAAGATCCGGGTTAGAATCTTCAGTAACCCATACTTGTAAAGAGGCGAAGGGATCGGGTGGTCAGGCTCGCTGACTTGGTTGACACATGTCATCGTATGCCAATTGCGAGTGTCGATGCTAAAGCTGTTGATCACTAGATTGCCTGGTCCAGATTCGATTATTCACAGACACCCGCCATATAGCTGGAATATTGCTTACTGCGACGTAAAACTAAACTCACTCACTCACTCACTTAATCCTAATTTGACACGACTAGGAGTAAACGACTTTTGTTCATAAAGAGTAACGTCTCCATTAAACACCGATGGCTGTGTTCTTGAGTCCGCAAACAGTCTTGAATGCCAAGGCATCCAGCCTTTTTCAGATTGATAGTCCTTCAGTTATGGAAAAGAATGATGTATGCATATAACACATGAGTCAGGTCGCTCACATATTGCAGCAACCAGCCACCTAGAAACGGCCAATACAGTGTCAACAATAATAAGGGAAGGTGGCTTCAAATCCAGCGCAGATAGATATATTTTACGAGAGCATCAATCAACTTGCTGCCACGCACAACACTTGTACAGTTCAAATTGCCAAATAACATTCTCCCCTTCAAGAGAAGAAATTTAATCGCAATGAAAACCTTCTTCGAATTGTAAAAAAACATTATCTAGGTAACCAAATCATAAAAGTTGAACGACTCATTTTCATATCATAATCAACAAGAATATATCTGCCAAAAGCAGGGTAGATGGTACGGTTCCTCTTCCGTTGAACAACTGTCTGCACTTGTAGTAGAATGAGTGAGTGAGTTTATTTTTACGCCGCACTCAGCAATATTGCAGCGGTCTGTAAATAATCGAGTCTGGACCAGACAATCCAGGGATCAACAGCATGAACATCGATCTACGCAAATGGGATACGACGACATGTGTCAACCCAGTCAGCGAGCCTGACCACCCGATCCCGTTAGTCGCCTCGTTCTAACCCGGAACTTCACGGGTCACACTAATAGTAGCTCTACTGTGTGTTAAAATTTCGATAGCATATTAGTTGCTCAGTTGTAGTTTAGTACCTCGTTTGTTAAAGGTCTATTCGTATCGTAGTCAAAATCAGGGAGTACGGTTTGGTGTAAACAGGGAATGAATTAAACCGGCATTATTCATATTTTTTTTCCATGCCTACGTTGATTAAACATTTTGTGTAATATATGTAAATGTTTGTATATTACTATATGAATTTCCAGTTTACCGTGGTTTACGTTCTTAATGTTCGTTTCTCTTTGGGTACGTTAACCCAAAGCGTTGTACGAAAGGTATTGATCAGTTTCGTTGTGAGTGAGTATGGTTTTATTCCGCTTTTAGCAGTATTCCAGCAATATCACGGCCGGGGGACACAAGAAATGGGCTTCACACTCTGTAACCTGGGTCTTCAGCGTGATAAGGCTACCCCACCCAGCTTCGTTGCGACACACTATACAATTACATGTACCTGACACTAAGAACGTAACACGTATGATGGGATACGGTAATCCGTATGATGAGCGTGAATCGTTGCTGGGGCTTGATACAAAAGCCATTTATGTATTGTCAGTACATGGAGTCTCAATACACAACACCAGTTCATGTAACCCTGAAACTGTGGTTATGTATTTTAAGGTTCAACCAAGTCAACCATTTTCTCCCACTCTTTCAGCAGCATTGTAACTGACCATTGCAGGCAGTCGTCGGTGATCCGAAAATATTAACAGCCGAGTCACAACAACCGTAGTTACAAACCCTGGTGCAGATTAATCTTACGTATCCGAAAAGCTTGCAAATCGTCCTGATCCGAAATTATACGTTGTGAGAGACGCGACTAAGTTACCACACAAAACCAGCGGCGTTGTAGTATTATTTCGCTGCCTGACGCGGCAAATAAGTCGTTGTAAGCTAAGAGCCGAGTTCCTCTGGTGAAGGTACGAGCGTAGGGAACTGGCTCATCAATGATTGTTAACGTGTATCGTGAGCGGTATGGGTGACCAACGCGTCCGGCTTACATCGTCAGGTCGTCAGGTAAGCCTGACATGAAAATTTGCTGGCTTTGATATACATACGCAATCGCTACGTTCACTCAAAACGTTAAATTCGGATCCCTCCACCAGGCCCCGT